ACCAAACAAGTCTTGTTTTCACTATTTTATACCATATACAATGTTTTTCATACTTTGTTTTTACTTTTGGGAACACTTCGTTTTTGGACCTCGGTTTTTCAAAACGGGTTTCAGCTGCTAGACTTTAGCTGGGTGATAATCGATTAACACCTTAGTGACAATCGACTATCAGCCATTGCAGCTTTGAACTTCCAAGTTCTGAAGCACGCAATAATCGATTATCAGCTTTGCAATAATCGATTATCAGCCTTTGCAGCCAAAACCCAGAATCTTCAGAGAGGACCAATAATCGATTATCACTTGTTGACAATCGATTATCTGGGTTACCGTTGTCCTCCAACGGATAGAATTTTAAATTTTTGCACAGGGAATCTTTGGATAATCGATTATCATGGTTTGACAATCGACTATCAGCTTGTGTCCCTGAAAAATTTGTCTTCATCCTGTTGGAAATTCTAGCAACGGGTTTATCCCTTTTTGGGCTATAAAATGGCACCCAAATCCTCTCTTTTAACACACAATTCTTCAACATTTCAATGCTCATTCATTGCATAAGCATTCCTATTTTTCTTAGCTATTTGAGAGCCAATTCTTGAAGAAATTGTCGTGTTCTTGAGCGTTTACTAGTTCACTCATATCTACTCTTGTGAGAGTTTTATTCCTGAGTGTTTATGTGTTTTCATACACTTTAAGGTAGGTTGTCCCCTTGTTGTAAACTCGAAGGAAATTACTTGTTCCTTCGTGAGAAGTCTTGGAGTGCCGTATCTCCGAGCAAAGGTGTTGAGGCTCGTGTGACTCGGGTTCTCAAGTTGTATCGGTTTGTTAAGCACCCTTAAGCTTAACGGAGTTAGTGTAGCTCGAGAGAGTCTCTCGGGGGGGCTGGATTAGCCACACGTTGTGGTGAACCAGGATAAAATCTGGTGTGCTCCTTCCTTACGCTCTTTACTTTAACGCTCTCGTTTTAATTTCCTGCGAATTTGTTTTTAAACGCTATTCACCCCCCCTCTAGCGTTGGGCCTTTATTCTAACATCCATTTCGGACTGCATGGCTTGACGCCATTCCTCAGCCTCGGGACAACTGATTGCCTCGAGGTAGGTCTCCGGCTCATCCTGGTCAATAAGCATTACGTCACCCTCAAAGGTTAGGAGGAATCCATACCTTTCAGGTTGTGTGCGTAACTAGTTAGACCTACGGGGTTCTTGTGTATCTTGAGCATTTTGAGGTACAACGGTTTGTTCCTCTAGCTCATGTTCCAGAACCGGCGCGGTAGTTTCTTTGTCGTCTCGAATTTCTTCGAGCTCTATCTTTCTCCCACTAGTTGCGTTGGAGAGAAATTCCTTCTCGAGGAAGACACCATTGTGAGCAACGAATACTTTCTTATCGATAGGGTGATAGAATGAATACCCTCGAGTTTCGTTTGGGTATCCCACGAAGAAACACTTATCAGACTTGGCGTCAAGCTTGCCATTCGTCATAAGACGTTTGACATAAGCCTCACAGCCCCAAATCTTTAAGTGTGACAGAATCGGGCATTTGCCCGTCCATAACTGGTATGGTGTTCCTTCAACCGCCTTAGTTGGAACTCGGTTAAGAGTATATATTGCAGTGCTCAGCGCATACCCCCAGAATGATTCTGGTAGAGTCGAATGACCCATCATAGAACAAACCATGTCAAGCAGGGTTCGATTCCTCCTTTCAGAGACACCATTCCATTGTGGAGTCCCAGGAGGTGTGAGTTGGGATAAAATCCCATGCTCTCTAAGATAGTCATCGAACTCACCACTTAAGTATTCTCCACCTCGATCAGATCGTAGTGTTTTAATACTTTTGCCAAATTGTTTTTCAACTTCATTCCTGAATTCTTTGAACATTTCAAAGGATTCTGACTTGTGTTTCATAAGATACACATAGCCATATCTACTGAGGTCATCAGTAAAAGTGATGAAGTATGAATAACCACCTCGTGCAGTTGTATTGAAAGGCCCGCACACATCACTATGAATGAGTGCCAGAAGATCACCAACTCTTTAACCTTGTCCGGTGAAAGGAGATTTGGTCATCTTACCCAATAAACAAGATTCGCATGTGTCATATGATTCAAGATCAAATGACTCCAGCATTCCCGACCGATGTAGCTTGGATATGCGTTTCTCGTTTATATGACCTAACCTACAATGCCATAGGTATGTTTGGTTCAAACCGTTCGGTTTGTTCCTCTTGGCTGATATGTTATAGACAGGCATGTCCAAGTCAAGGACATATAACCCATTGGTCATGTTGGCATTAGCATAGAAAACATTCTTTCTGTAAACGGAAAGGGACTTGTCTTTAATAGAAATGATGAAACCACTCTTATCAAGACATGAAACAGAAATAATGTTTCTGCTAATTGCAGGAACGTACAAGCAATCGTTTAATTCCAACATTAGACCACTAGGCAAGACTAAACTATAAGTTCCGATTGCCAATGCTGCAACAGGTGCACCATTGCCGACTCGGAGCTCAATCTCGCCTCGAGCTAACCGTCTACTCTGCTTCAGTCCCTGCATGGTAGTACAGATATGAGACCCACATCCAATATCTAGTACCCATGATGAAGATATAGACATGTTAACTTCTATAACATACACCTCAGAATAAATGGTCGTACCTTCCTTCTTCTTGGTTGCGAGGTATGTCTTGCAGTTTCTTCTCCAGTGGCCTGCCTTACCACAGTGATGACATTTGCCCTTTGCAACTCCTCCTATGGGTTTCTGGGTTGCAGATGAAGTGGACTTCGATTTAGGCTTTCCGACCGTCCTAGCCTTAATCTTAATCCCTTTCTTTGGCTTCCCCTTTCCGCCTTGGACCATAAGGACGGAAGCACCCTTGCCCTTAGTAAGGTTCTCCTCTGCAGTCTGGAGCATTTTAAGAAGCTCCGGAAGGGGTTTGTCAAGATCATGCATCATGTAGTTCATGACAAAACCCTTATACAGGATCAGGTCCGTTGCCAACTCCTTCTGCAAGGAGAACCCGAGTTTCCCCAGATTGGTTATGTAACCAATCATTTTGAGAACGTGCGGACCGACCGGGTTCCCTGAAGAGAGCTTGCAACTAAAGAGAGCCTTACTCACGAGAAAACATTCATGCCTGGATTGCCCCTGGTATAGCTGCCGCAAGGCAACGATCATCTCGTGGGCCTTCATGTCCTCGTGCTGTTTTTGCAGCTCGGGTATCATGGTAGCCAGCATGACACAGCTAACCTGGTTGTCATCCTTAACGTGTTTCTCGTAGGCATCTTTGACCGCTTTCGGGGTGTTAGCGAGAGGGGCAGGAGGAATGGGCTTTTCGAGCACATACTCTTTCTCATCCATGCGGAGAACAATGCAGAGATTGCGTTGCCAGTCAACAAAGTTTGTTCCGTTCAATTTATCTTTATCCAGAATGGAACGCAGGGCGAGGTTGTTTGTGTTGTTGTTTGCCATCTATAGAATTTTGCGAAGATAGTTATTATCATGAATTAAGTATCTAATAGGTCTTTATTAAATACTCTCCTACTATTTCTAACAAGTCAACTACCCTCAGGTACGGAACCTATTGACTTGGGGTTTCTATTTGAAGAATACCCTAGCGGGCCAAGATCCATATTTTATTTAACTAAAGTTGTGCTTTGCATCTTGCCCTACAGTTAAATTATTTAGGTAGGAATTCATTCCAATTGCAATCGTTATTACAACTCTTGGTTCGGTGGATTCTTTTAAATAAAATTCTTAATTGGGCCAGATCCATATTTCATTTAACTATAGTTGTGCTTTGCATCTTGCCCTACAGTTAAATTATTTCTGGTAGGAATAAATTCC